TCTTGCTTTGAACCTTGGCATCAACTCATGGAATTGTCTCAATTCATATTCACTTGAAGGTCTTGTCAGGAAGCATTTGTCCAGATCAGGTTGAAGCAATTCACGGTCCCTTCTAAAAGAGTGGCTCAGGCATCCCAACGTCAAGTGGCGCTTCAAGTCTCGCAGTGTGTTGTCATGTCAGCCTGGAGAAAAGAGGCGATGCCATCTTCTCCGGGCTCCCTGTCCGGGCGCGAGTCCGCGGGCGCAGGATGGGAGTGGGAGGAGTGCTTGCCAGAGCATGGCACTTCGAAATTTGTGAGTGCACTGCAGCTGTTGGGAATTGAGCTAGCGGAGGCTGTTCCCCAGAAGGTATTTGACGAGGCGATTTCGACAGAGCCACCAATATCAGATCTCATCATTGGGAAGTTTGGCAAGAAACCCATCAAGGAAAGGTTGTTGAAACTTGAACGCAATGGTAAATGAATGCGCTTTTTGTGCTAATGTATGCGCAAGCAAGAGTTCAAACGCAGATCCCACACAGAAACATGAACGTGCCCTTCCAACTTCTACTGAGGATTAAGAACTTCTGGGCCATCCACACACTGGTCAAGTTTCAGGCCTTCCGAACCCGCAAGCCCAGCAAGGCGGAGATTCAGATTATCCTTACCGCTTTCAATGAGCACCACCAGGCCTATGTGTGTGCATCGGTACACTTTAGACCAAAAGGGAACTTGCCATGCCCTTACGTCAAGATGGTGAAAGATGGTGAAAAGAATCCAGTGCACCTCACGTCAATCCCTTTGTTTTCATTGTCCCAACCAGGGCCTTGCTATTCGAGCATGTCCAGAATATGAACCTCGGAGCGCAGTCAACCGGTCCAAAGAACCTCAAGAAAAACCATGCCAATAACCTCAAACAAAGAACCTCAAATGACACCAAGCAAAACACTTATCCAAGGACTTGGACACCATGATGGAATCTGTGGGTTTAAAGCTGCAACGATTGTGGAGTGGACTTCGAAGGACATTGTCTGGGTTGGTTTTTGAACTTCTTGGCCTGCCCTAGACGCCCTATATATAGAGGTATGTTAAGTGGGTTGTGTGGCTGATCTTTTGCTTGGCCCCTTTCAGGAAGTGGCAGAACAGCAAGCACTCATCTGGGAGCGCTTGGGTGCAGGTGCTCAAGGATTGCATGAAGAACCATTCCGCGAACCCAAAGGGTGAGTATGCAGAGCTCGATGCAGAGACTGATATATTGGGTCACCAGTCAACATCAGATTCTGATGATGCCATTCCGGATGATTTCTTTGGAGTTATCGACCAACCACAACATGATGATGCTTCGTCTCCGACTTCGAACTCAGTCATACCCTCAAGTTCTATTCATTTTGTCTGGAAATCACCATGCAGCTGTGATATGTTGAACTGTGTTGTACTGGCTTGGACAAACAAACAAACCAACAAAGCAAACAAAAGCTGGTGGCCCAGGACTGTGGAAGCGATGTGTGGAAGTGCATGGATGGTGACAAGCTTGCTTCGCCCAGTGCCGAAGAAAGTCACCCTCCGCATAGTTCGCTTGTGCTTTATGATCCGCCGGGTGACAAGGATCCCAAAGTCATGTAAACTGTATGCGTTGAGGGAAACCTGACCTTAACACAAACCCCGATGCATACCAGGACTCCGACGACGAGTTGAGCAAAGCGCTTGGAGCTTTGGAGGACCTGTCTCCAGTCAGAGTGGATGAGCGTCGGAAGCGGGAGCGGGCTAGGGGGTCAAAGGAAAAAAAGCAAAGAAGAAGTCCAAAAAGAACAACAATGCAAATGCCTCTGCCGCCTCTGAGCCTGTGCAGGGTATCTCTGATCAGGTTTTGAACAGCTTTGAGGAAAGCTATAGGGCGTTGATTCGTGAGATGCCTTTACAGCTTGTTCCTCGGACTGATCGGCATGGAAAACATTCCTACACGGTGATCCTTAGCTCAAGCCACCAAACAGTATATGCCGAGTGTTGCCACTTCTAAAAAAACATATGTCTGGCTGTGTTGTGTGAGAACTAAACCAAGGAAGATTGGAGAGAAAGCGCGGGTTGAAGTACTTCTTCGTCAGCAAGCCCTCAAACCCAAATCGGATTCATGTGGGAAGTTATTGACAGGCGAGAACGCCAAGTCGATTCTTGCCTGTTAAGTATATATGGTTTCAAAGTCATATAACTACACAAGAACAAAGGAGTTACATGTGGGTCCACAGTCAGTTAAAGAAAACACGTGTATCCTTTGCACCAGTGTCTAGCCCAGGATTTCCTTTGTCAAGGACGACGTCCACTCGGCATGGGTGAAAGCCAAGGCTGTAATGGGCATTGCGGAGGACTAGGTTTCACATGCCAGTGCCTGCAACGCTTCTTTCCGGGTTTTGTATATAGGCTGAAGAGCCTATATGTGATCAAGTGGGGTCGCGCTATATCTATACACAACCTTACATGCACAAGAATCCCAAGAGATGTAATTCTTGATCTAATCAACTCTTTGTGCGTGTGCGAAACCACTTTAATCAAGTTTCATTCGGGATACATAGCTCTTGGGGTGTCTTGTTTGCTGGCTGAGTCTCCCGACTTCAAGTGCCCAGTTGGCCTTCGGGAGATGAGTCGGTAGACACGCAATGTCTGAAGAAAAGGATTGACCACCCCGTCCAAAAGCACATAGGCAGAAAGCACAATAGCAGCGCACGAGCGCATCTAAGGAATGAGATGGTGAGTCGATGCTGCGCCATAGCTACCATCCTTTGCCTTCTCAAAGTGCCGTGGATCTTAGAGCAGCCAGGCTCTAGCTTGCTACAGTACCGCCCCGACTTCCAGCGTCTATGCCGAAGATTTGATATCTTTAAGGCAACTTAGTGCAACATAAACTCTTCAAGGTGATGTGAGATGCACCTGAAACATATAAACCTATTCCATCGGGACCCGAGGTATTCACATGGCTTGGCGCGTACGGCGGAACAAGCGCCTTGTCTGCCACAGGCCACAGGACGAGATCATTTCCTCCGGGGCCACAGTGTCAATCTGAAGGGATACAAAGGGATCTGAATCTATGCAGTCTTTTTTACAAACAGAGTGGGCCTTTTCAGTTTAGCGACAGCCCATAGATACAGCGTACTCATTATATGTAATCTTAGGTCAAAGGAACAATCCTGTACAGCAATTACAAGTTCATCGAGGAGCTGTACCGTGAGTGGGACGCAGAGATCTCAATCAAGCAACTGAGACATTGGGGGGTGGAGGGTTGGTGTCAGAGGTGTTGATCAAGTGCTGGGCTATCTGTGTGTACTACTAATACTACTATGTAGACTTATATTACTGTATATGGCTATATGTGGATGAGTCTTCTGCATCTATGAGCTTACACCGTCACGCGCATCTAAGGTATGTCGACTCCAACGGTGTACCCCGAGTGTGCGGTGGAAAGGACCTCAAACATTCACAGTACTATCCAAGACTCTTTGGGGCGGCGGTTGCGCAGCTGTATGCAAAGCATTTGCCGTTCATCAGATCCAGCATCAACCAGACAGAGCACCTCGCGCTTAAGCATTGTTGGGGTTAAGTCTAAGTGCTGTGAACGGTATGTCAAATGTGCATAGCTACAGACTCTATAGGCATATTTGGGTCGCCCATGAAAATCTGAAACCCACAAGTCCCACTGTTGAGCTGGCAGTGGAGGGGCCAAAAGGTGACTTGTGGGGGTCAGATGGTCCTTGTCAAATGTGCATAGCGGGGTCTCTTCTGAAGGGCCTGCCTCAAAATGGCATGGCCATCTCCAGGCCCACCCCCCGCCTCAAATAGACTTGGATAAGCCAAAAGGTGACTTGTTGGGGTCAGATGATCCTTGCACCCCCCATGTAGAGTCGACAGAGTGTTTCCAAGAAAGAATGTCTGTTGAGTCCTGTTGCTCATGGCTAGCCACACACATTCCAGGCAAGCGTTGTCTTCGCTGGAAAAGCCTACCAAAGTCTTGAAGGACATGGGTGGTGGGAGCTGAGCGTGACTAGACTCTCAAGATCTCGCAAGCTTATCCATACACACATGTGGCATCCAACTGCATGCTAGCATTCCATATAGATAGATATATAGTAAGATTAGATAGATTATTCCCCGATTCCCGGTTTCCCGGATTCCCGGTTTCCCGGATTCTCGGATTCCCGGTTTCCCGGATTCTCGGATTCCCGGGTTCGGTTTCCCGGATTCTCGGATTCCCGGTTTCCCGATTTCTCGGAAGTGGACTCCATGTTTATAGTATATTTATATTGTATGTATATCTATATGTATGTAAGTAGATATAGACGTATATATGCACATATACTTGATGATGACCCACCATCGTACATCATCCCGCGCTCCTTTGGATCTTTCCAGGACGTTGGATGGGCCCAATCTGCCAACCTGCAGCAAGTGGCAGAGGCTTTGCGCAAGCCCTGAGTGTTCTGGAGGTGCCCTGCAGGGAAGTTCAAGGTCCCAGCCAATTTTTTAAAAAAACTTCAGAAACCACAAAACCCGGGAATCCGAGAATTTCCCGGGAATCACCCGAGAATACCCGAGAAATTTCCTGGGTTTGGAACCTGTCGGTTTTTGTTCAGACTTGTGAGGTTTTGTTCAAACACTTGTCGGGAAATTTCATATTGGGCCCGAGACTCTGAAGGACATGGCACCTCTGTTTTAATTAGAGACTGTAGAGCACCTTCCAATTAAGTTGTGGTGTGGGAAGTTTGGTGACCTGAAGTACTATGACAGAAAAAAACATGTGCAAGTTGTGCGGTTGTGATATATGAGGGGTCACCAATGAACCCATGTAGCAACAGTTGCGTGTGTGACAAAACAAAGCTCGTTTACCTGTGAGCAAGAATTCTTAATGGCATCGTTCATTAGTGGCACATATGTGTCTGTACATCGGCTTGGAGTCGTGGTGCATTACTTGAGGTATTGTTCGCTGCTTTAGGTGGATCAGCGCTTCAGGCTATAGATCACCCGTGACTCTGCACCATGCCGGAACCGGTGTTGAGGCGACATCGTGAGAAGTCAGCCCCGCGAGAGGGGGCTCCAAGGGGACGTAGCCCTGATGCCAAATCTTTGCAGCAGGCGGCTAAGAAGGCTAGGAACCATAGTGGAGGGTACGTCACACCGCCCCCTAGGACTAGGAAGGTGCTCCAGGATTCTCATACCAAATGTGTGAAGCCTCGAAAGATTAAGTTTGGCAACGACTCCGTGCACCACATCGAAGCGGAGAACCCGGCACCTCCAAAGTCTTCAAAGGAGAAGAAAATTGGCGCAGACGCGATCTTGAACGCCCTTAAGGAGAGACCCCATGTATGTTCTATATCGTGTCTCTTGCTGCTAGCAACACCTGTCCAAATATGAGGAACCCACTGTGTTGCAGATCTACTTTGTTGAATGACCCCCACTTTGCAGGAGTCAAAGAAGGAGGACAAAGCTGAAGATAGTGAATCTAGCTCTGACGAGGAGGCCCTGAACAATAGACGCAGGTGGTGGAAACAGTTTGAATTACAAGAAGCCCTCAGTGTCCAGAATGAAAAAACGGTGGGCTGCTTGGGTGTTGGGTATTCAGCGGCCAGGAGGAGCTGGAAGTGAAAGAACAAAAGGCAAAGAAAGAAGTGGCACCCAAGAAAGAAAAGAAGGAAGAGTCATCGAAGGAGGAAGAGAAGAAGAAAGAAGATAAGAAGAAGAAGGAAGAGCGACCAAAGAAGAAGGAAGCTCAATCGAAGAAGGAAGAAGAGGAGCCAAAGAAGAAGGAAGAGCAATTGAAGAAACAAAACAAGAAGGAAGAGCAATTGAAGAAACAAGACAAGAAGGAAGAGCAATTGAAGAAACAAGACAAGAAGGAAGAGCCAAAGAAGGCAGAGAAAGAACAGAAGAAGAAGAGGAGCAAGGGTTCCAGCGACTCAGACCAGGAAGATGAGGAGGATGATGCAGCTTCCTCGCCGGATGAAAGTAGCGAGATTGAAGAAGAGGAAAGAGAAGACGAAGAAGAAGAACCAGAAGAGGAAGAGGAAGACGAAGCAAGCTCCGAGGAGGCAAGCCCTGAGGAAGAGGCTTCAGCGCCTGTAGGAATTCTGAAGTCGAGTTCAAAGGATGACTCCAGCATGGATGGGTCCAGCTGCCATGAGTCGGAGAGTGAAAGCAGTGGCGACAAAAGGTCTGAGGAGAGTTCTGAAGAGGACAAGAAGAAGAAAAGCAAGAAGAAACAGGGGAAGAAAGATAAGAAGAAGAAGGATAAGGATGAGGGGAAGGACAAGAAGAAGGACAAGGACAGTGACAAGGCGGATGGCAAGAGTGGCGTGAAGGATAGGAAGGAGGACGCGAAGGAGTGTGCGAAGAAGAATGAGGGTGAGAAGAAGGATGGGAAAGGAAAGAAAAGAAAGGCAAGTTGCAGTGAGGAGTCAGAAGATGAGATCAACGAAAGCAGCGATGAGAACAAGAAGGAGAAGAAAGAAAAGGAGAAGAAATGCAAAAGGAAAGAACGTAAGAACAAGAAGGAAAAGAAGAGCAAAGAAGAGAAAGGCCTAGCATCTGCTGAGGATGGTCTCACAGGGAATTCCACGAGCCATCGGAAGGAATGGCAAAAATTTGGGCGGCGGTGCAAACATCCCCGGCGATGCCCAGCAAAAATTGTGGCTGCCTGCAAAAATGCTGAAACAAGGGCTGAGCTGTTCAACACCTATCTCCAGTGTGGTGAAGTCTTCGCAGAGGTGGAAATGAAGTTCACACAGCAGCTTGAGGAGAGTCAAGCTACCCAGGTGAGGTATGGCTTCAGGAATGACACTTGGTTGGTAAAGCACCGCGGAGAACGAAAAGCGCAAAAGATCATGAAGCGGAAGGAGGAGTTGGGGTTGAATCTCGGACCTCATAGGTAGGTGAATGAATATCATATATATATATATATTTGTCTATACACATCCTATAGTACTAATACACCGGGGCAAAAAGTAAAAGCACTTCGACCCATCTCGCCCATCCAGATTCCCTGCCTTCTTACTTCTTTCATCTCCACAGCATAGATCCAGTTGCCTCCCAAGCGTTCAATTGCGGCTGAGGACCATCCCGGACCCCGAGTTTCCGGGACGACGAGAAATTGTACTTCGTTCTTGTGGAGTTCAACCTGGATGACATCAAGCAGGTCAAGCGAATTACCGCTTTGGAGCTAGAGGGGAGCCTTGACGCCGAGGGCGTCAAAGCATTCGTGGAAGACCCTTGTTTTGAAATAAGACTTGTATTCACAAGACCTCAATGGATCAAAGACAGACCAGAGTCTTGCAAGTGATCATTGGGTCAGACATTCCATGCATCATGCATGTTGCCCGGAAAGCAGCATTTGAGCCTGGGTCAAATGGCCGGCCCCAAGGGCATGCAATCGTTGGCCGACGCCGTGGGAAAGATGGGGGGTAAGCAGAAGAATCCTAAGAAAGGAAAAGGAGGGAAGGCTGACGCAAAAGGTGATGACAACAAAAACTGAAGGTGATGCCGCTAAGGCCTGCATGTTGTTGTGCGCCAAAATCTTCTTTGGGGCTTTAAACCTTCTTGCGATTCCCAGGTGGAGCCTGAAACGCCGCTTGCCAAAGCACAGAACCTAGTCAACCGGACCCTGAAGGATGCAAATATGTGCAGGCGCACACTGTGGGTTCAGAATAGATGGCGCAATCACCAAATCTAAAGGTTATAGTTGGAGTGTACCAGGTTGTATGGACCCCCATCTAAAGGACATCTTCTGAAGCTACTGTAGTACACTGTGAGAAGTTCAGAAAACATCACACCCCACACCCCACAGCTTCGACCAGGGATTACGCCTTCAAGTTGCGACCGCTTTCACTATCCTCCGACCTGATCGACCAGCTTCGGGCCTGCAGCGTGAAGCTTGGCGATGAAGCGGAAGTGCAATAAGAACAAGCACTACCGGGACTCGATCGCGAAGGTAGTTCAGCAACAGTCTATATGTTTGTGTACCCAACAGTCTATATCTTGTTTGATCCTTTTTGTCAAAGATTCATAGAACCTTACACGCATGGAGGTCGATGAGGTCACCAAAATCGCCAAAGACCGAGTGGATTTGGCGAAAGCGCTGATCCGTGCCAGTGAGAAGTCTGAGAAGCCCAAATCGGCTGGCAAAACCAATCCCAATGCTAAGTCCATTGCAGATGCACCTGCAAAGGGGATTCTTAGTCTCACTTTTGTGTGATTCTCTTGGGGTGATTCTTCATGAATGCCACTGCCGAGCCAACCGTCGCACTTTCCAAGCTGTTTGCAAGTCTTACCATGTGTGAGAACAAGAAACATGATCTTTATCTTTGTTTGCTTTAGTATGGGGTGTTGCAAAGGAGGCATTGAACGAGTTCAGCATTGCGAAAAGCAATCAAATCAAGTTGCAACCATAGAGCACCTTCGGGCTTACCTGTAAGGTGAATGAGAAGTGAAAATGCACTCTTTCGATGAGCGCTTGAGCAGGTGCTTGCTATGTTTCATGTGTGTCTCACCATCGCATGGAGGTGCTCTTCATCGTCCCCATCGAGATCCAGGACTCCTCCAGCTGCATCTTCAAGTAGAGCGGAAGGAGGAGTCTCGACCAAGCCTGGGGGCTCATGTTGGCTCGCCAAATGTGAGTATAGTAGAGAACTAGTGGAGCCTGCGTTATTTGAGGGGTCCAAGTAGAGTCCCACCCCTCCTTGTACCAACCAGCTCAGGAACAGATGTACTTCTACATGGGAGCAACTCTGCATTGCGGGCTCTCCGAAAAATCTGCTCTGGAGCTACTCGGATTTAGAAAAAGATGTCAAGCAATTAGAAACAGGAGCTGTCTATACTCTGGAGCTTGTCTAGTCAAAACTGCCTCCAATCACAAAAGGTGATTGAATATGTTTGCATAACTGCAGGCTACATCTGCACGAGATGGCTGTAGAGACACTGATCGATTGGTGGCTGATGGATTTGTATGTCCGTTGTCGCTGACCATGCACCGATGGCACACTGGGGGGCACGAAGAGCGATCGTTTGCAAGGCACATCCTGTTCAAAAAGAGACTTCTTACTGCAATGCTGTATATATGGTAACCGTTGTGTTTTTGGAGGTCAAACAAGTTGTTGGAACTGAAACGTTGATCAATCTGCGTGGGTACCCACCTCCAAGAACCCCTGGAGTCCCCTGCCAAGGTGGTGCGAGAAGACGTGCACGGTTCATCCTGGCCAGGTTCAAATCCCCCTGAACATAACGGATGTCAATGGGACTGAAAGAGAAGTTGAGTATGATGTGGCTTTGCTTTGGCCATGGGACATGTTGAACTGGCTTTGGGAATCTGGCAATTTCTTGAGCTGGGTTTCGGACAACCCAGAAAATGCTCATGACCGTGTTGAAGAATATTGGACACACTGTGAAGAGCTTGACTTCTTCCATCGTCTTGGCTTGCCAAAGTCTCAATACCGCTACTGCGTGCCATTTCTGTTCCACGCCGACGGTGTCAAAATTTATAAGAGCCAAAAAGCATGGGTGTACTCATATGCATCGGCGTGTCGCAAGGGAACATCCATTGAGACAAAGCTGGTTCTGCTGATTCTTCGGGAGGCAACTATCATCAAAGATCGATCGCACGATCGCGTTGGAGAAACCATCGGGTACATCATGCGAACTTTGATGACAGGAACATATCCTTCTGTCGACCACCGTGGTGAGCCTTTCTTAGTGGGATCTGCTGAGTATGCCAGAGCTGGGAACCTCTTTGCGGGGGGGCTGGTCCATGGCCTTCAGTGGATTCAAGAGCGATTGGGAAGCCCGCCATATCATACACAAATCGAACAGATTTTACAACAGTCGTTGGGTGTGCGAACATTGTTTAGCATCCAGGGATCCGGACCTGACGTTTGGAGACTTCCGAATGACGGCAAATTGCCTCAGCCACCGTTTCTCTCACCAGGACTATTTGATCATGAATGCAAGCAGGCTGTCTTCGTGGGTGTCGGTGCCCGGCTGGACCAAAGACAGGAACTTAGAGGTTCCTGGTCTATTAACTGGTCTATATGATTTGTTTTGATATCTGAAGCTTACACAACTTCCCCCAAGAAAATGTGACTTTGCTAGTCTAGTTTGCTTAAAAGCTAAAAGGAACAGGTGAAAATGGTAAAGCATGCTTGTATTGAACTGAGGACATTTTGCATGTCTTCCACCAGGGAATTGCTTGCGTGCTCATTGCTGCCCTAGTCTGCGACTCCCTTGAACGGTCAATCCCAGATCTAACTTTGAAGAGCATGGACCAGTTGCTCGCTTCTGATGTCTATGTGCATTACAAATCTTGGTGCAGGTCAAAAGGTCATCATGCCACCTCGTGTAGCTTCAGGTTCTCTACGGGCAGATTTGGAAAAGAAACGTGGGCCACTTGCCCAGAACTGGGGTCAGTATACAAGGCTGCTGTTGTCAAGAGTATGATCTTTTGGTGTGCTGCGTATTTACGGGAACACCAAACAGCTCCGAACGGTCGGCTTCGCTATTTGTGTATGCAGCAGTTTGCAACTTTCCAGTACCTCTTGGACAGCAATGGTCCATTCTTTTCTAGAGACATGGCATCAAAAGTTGTGAAGGCAGCTCGTGACGGATTGCTGCTGTATCAGAAGCTGGCGTCTTTGGATCGGAAGCGAACCGATGGCAGGAGGACTTACAAAGTGATTCCTAAGTTTCACTCCTTCTTGGAACTCAGCATCTATGTAGAGGAGTCTCTACGTAACCCTCGATTCGAGCACTGCTATCAGGATGAGGACCTGATGATGGAGATTTCTCGAATCTCCTCTCGTACTCACCCTTCAACCATGGAGCTGGTGACTATGAGACGGTACAGAGCCCTCCTTCAGTTTTTCATCCACCCAGCTTAAGCCTACACCTGTGCAGTTCTTGGGTTCCAGACTGGACGTCGCTCCATGACGCCATGCCATGCCGAAAAGTGGCACTCCGGGAGTGATCTGCAGCATGTCCACATGAGGTCCCTGAAGTTGTGTTTGAACAAGTGTTTGGACAATGTTGTTTCAAGGCCGTGCAATCGCCGGCCATTCACAAAAAAACACTTCTAGGCGCAGATGGTTTGTGTCAGATGGGCCCACCATACATGTGAAGCAGGTCTAGACTTGAGCAACCAGGTGCTTCGAAGGTCCACCACTCCTCGCGGTTTCTCCTTCTGACTCCTTCACCAAAAAGGGTATGCCCTCCAACGGTTTTGTGTTCCTTTGGTCAACCACCCCTTCTTAAGGACCCGCGGCGCTCACGGTTTCTCTTCTTTGTTTTTCTTTTCAAGAAAGGCATCCCTTCAAGATTAACTTTTTCAATGTTAACTTCAGAAAGACACACGCATCCCCTGGGTGGTCAACCCTTTGTGCATATATAGATATATATATACACATATAAGGTATATATGTCACCGATATTTTCCAACGAGGGAAAATATCGAAACACGGCTCAAGCTTGCCCTTTCACAGGCAAACTTGCTTAAAGTAAAGTAGCGCCTGCGCTAGTGCTTGCAGTCCACTTGAAGTACATGCGCAGCGCTGCACGTGAAAACCAATACCAACAATATGCTTTGCATGTCCACGGAAGTGCTCAAAACTAGAAGGCTTAAAGGGAAAGCCTTCAAAACAAGCATAGTTGTGATAAGCCTTTTTGGCTTCAAAAGGCTTAAGTTATAGCGCTCCTGGCTCTCCAGGTATGCATCACCTGTTCCCAGCATCTTCTGTGGAAATCTCGGTCCGTCACGCGGCAAAAGATTTGGGGTGTACCATGCAATATACCAAGCAGTGTGTTCTAGGTTGCCTTAAGGATCGCATGGCTGCGGCGGCTCAACGGCTCACCCGTTTAGGTCGTCATCAGCTCGCTCGAAAATCTTTTCCAGCTTGATCTTCAAAACGGCTAGGTATGGTTCATGCCCTCTGTACCACTTCACAAAGCAAACTGCAAACATGTTCAAACGAAATGAACTGCACACGTATAGCCAGTAGAGGTTTCGCTCTCCCCTCCCGGCACTTGTACGGGATCTTTCAACCCCTACAAACCATATGGTGATTTCTTCTCACCATCAACACATCAAGAAAAAATGAGCCTTTCGACCCAAGCCCTCTCTCATACGTCTCATCAGCCACACATGC